GAAATTCACATCAAATATAGTGTTAAAGGCAGGTTGAAAGCAAAAGAATGAAAAAAAAATGCCATGTCAACATAGTAAGCAAGAGATATTATTATCAAGTAGACTTCAAAGCAAAGAAATATTAGAAGTAGAGAGGTACATTATGTAATAATGAGTGATCAAGAAGAGATAGCAATTCTAGATATATATACAACAAACAACAGAGCTGCAGGGTGTGGGTGAAGCAAACTATTAGAATGGAAAGGAGAAATAAACACATCCACAATTATAGTTGGTGATTTCATTATTTCTCTCTCATCAAATGATAAAAAATAAATGGGAAAAAAATTGTGAGAAACATACAAAGTAGTACTGAAAATGATATTTATAGCAGTAAGCATATACATTGGAAAAGAGGGCAGGGCACAGTGGCTCATGTCTGTAATCCCAGCACTTGGAAGGCGGAGATGGGTGAACGGCCTGAGCTCACAGGTCTGAAACCAGCCTGAGCCAAAGTGAGACCATGTCTCTGAAAATCACCGGGCACTATGGTGGGCATCTGTAGTCTCAGCTACTTGGGAGGCTGAGGCAAGAGAATAGCTTGAACCAAGAGTTTGAAGTTGCTGTGAGCTATGATGCTACTGCAGTCTACCAAGGATGACAAAGTTAAGACTCTTGTCTCAAAGAAAAAAGAGAAAGGAGAGGAGAGGAGAGGAGAGGAGAGGACAGGACAGGACAGGAAAGAGGAAGCCTCAGACTGCATGTGGTGTCTGCCGCCTGTGATCCTAGCACTCAGGGAGAGAGATGTGGGGGGATTGCTTGAACTTAGAAGTTCAAGACCCCTGTGTCTAGTAAAAATAGAAGTTAGCTGGGTATAGTGGCATATTCTTGCAATCCCAGCTACTTGGGAGACTGAAGCAAGAGGATTGCTTGAACCCAGGAGTGAGATGTTGCACTGAGATCTGATGATGCCACTGCACTATATGTGGGGCAACAGGGAAGGAAGGAAGGAAGGAAGGAAGGAAGGAAGGAAGGAGAAGGGAGGAAGGAAGGAAGGGAGAAGGGAGGAAGGAAGGAAGAAAGGAAAGAGAGAAAATTTTAAAATTAAAATCTAAGCAGCCACAATTAAAATCTAAACCTAGAAAAAGAACATAATAAACCCAAAGGCAATAAAATAAAATAAAATAAACCCAAAGGTCACAGGAAGAGGAAAATAGTAAGAGTAGAAATCAATAAAATTGAGAAGAGAAAACTAAAAGAAAATCAATGAAAGAAAGAGATGCTTCTTTGAAAAGATCAACAAAATTGACAAACCTCTAGCAAGCTGGACAAAAAGGCAAAAGATACAAATTACCAATAACAGGAATAAAATGAAATATTACTATAGGCCCTACAAACAACAAACGGATAATAAGAGAGTAAACAACTCCACATGTATAAATTTGAAATGTGCTAGAGCCTCAAGTAACAGAAACTACTCATCCAATGTGAATAGGTAATTTAAGTAGAACTATTAAGTGAAAACCTGTCTCTACAAAAAATTTTTAAAATGAGCTATACATACTTGTGCTTGCTGTAGTCTCAACTAGTTAGGAGGCCAAGACAGGAGGATTGCTTGAGCCTAGGAGTTTGAGGTTGCAGTGAGTGATGCTTATGCCCTTGAACTCTAGCCCAGGCAACAGAGTGAGATGTGGCATGAGCCACTATGCCTGGCCCCTTTTTCTTCATTAGCCTGCTAATATGATGGATTATATTAATTAATTTTCAATATTAAATCAGCCTTGTATACCTGGAATAAACCCTAGTTGGTCAAATGTATAA